ACTGCTTGTATTTATGCCGAAACAAGTTCTTAAACTTACCCTTAATTGGACTATTTTTGCACAGTTTCATCTACATACAAAACGTCTTCTTTCATTATTCATGGGAAGAGTAAAACACACGCAAATGAATACAAAAGAGAGGACACCGGCTCTCAACATAGTCTTCGCCATGTTTACTTACATCTTCAAAGTTTCCCGCCAGACACAGGTATACCGCGCGCTATTTGACTCACGCATGCGCAGACAAATGTCCCTGCTGTTGTCGTGTCGCAGTTTCCAGTCTCTCTCGAACCACAGGAAGCCATATCTATCATAGTTTGCAGTCTCTCTCGAACTGAAAATTTTCTCAAGAATCCAAAATGGCGGGTACTTCGCCGATAACAGAGAAAAAAGTACTCAAAAACTATCAACAAGAAATACCAAAAGCTTTCTCATTGAAGAATTGAACTAGGATWTTGCATTTGTGAAGTTTCAATCTTGCTAGTTATCATTTTAAGACGATTTTGCATCGAAAATAGTCTCGCCTTCCTCACCAGTCCAGCTCGATGATTATTCAGTACAGCTTCAACATGAAATCAGCTCAAATACTGGCTTTTTTCCACATTTATAGACAGCAAAAGGTATTTTTCTSTTTAWATGACAAWGTTTTTATTGTTCAAATTCAAAGAAATTGCTTTAATATCATCGGAGTTTTTTATTAGACGTTAAAAATGACAAAGTACAAGTTTTGAAATTGAACTTTGTTTTGCTTCAATTTTTAGATTTGTACGAAAGAAAGGCTAATAAAAACAAAATTTAAAGAATGCACCCATGTCATCTAAAATGCATTGCTATGTAAATAATAATGTGATATTGCTAACTAAGAAGTAAAGAGCTTCCATAGATATTATTACTCGTGCCCAGGCTACGCCTGCAGGCACGAGGTATAAAATGCAGTGCGTATATTATTTTTTTTCTTTTTTCCATGTCAGAAGTTAAGCCTCGGGTATCACGATTGCTTTCCGAACGCTGCATAGGAAATGACGTCACCACAGCTCGAACTTGTAGCAAAATCACCCACTGTAACTATCCGTACTACTCCTTAAACTRTGAAGTTCAATGTAGCTTTTATACCAGAAAATTTTAACACGTTCACAAATGTGGTAACCAAGAATCAACCTAAATGCACATTATCTACGCATGCGCTTCGTTATGCACCGCAGTACAACAGCAGGGACATTTGTCTGCGCATGCGTGAGTCAAATAGAATACATGGCGCGAGGTATACCTGTGTCTGGCGGGAAACTTTGAAGATGTAAGTAAACATGGCGAAGGAGCCGGTGTCCTCTCTTTTGTATTCATTTGCGTGTGTTTTACTCTTCCCATGAATAATGAAAGAAGACGTTTTGTATGTAGATGAAACTGTGCAAAAATAGTCCAATTTAGGGTAAGTTTAAGAACTTGTTTCGGCATAAATACGAGCAGTGATTAATTTATTCTACTCGAAGATGGAAATTTTTACTAAAATTCGCACGTCTTTGCACGTTGATTTGAGATATCCACGCAATTTTCAAAGGCGAAATTACAATTCTATTCTTTTTAGAATTACATAAGATTTTAATTTAGGTAGGTTTCCGCTCTGGGCACGTCCCCGGTTTTTCATAAAATAGTTTTAAACCAGTGGGCCCGACATATTGAACTCTAGAAAAAAGAGAAAAACCTTTCGATTGAAGCTTATTCAGAATTCTTGGTCGAAAGTCTTACACTTTCTAATTGTTTTTATTTGCTCGAGAGATGGAGAAAATACATTGAAAGTTCTGGCTTTTGGAGATGTTTATTTCCGACATTATGACCAAAAACGTGCGA